TATATATATATATCAGATGAAATAGAAGAATTTTTTTTTTTTGACAAAGCCCAAGGGCTAATATATTAAAAAGAAAGAAAGATACAGATAAATTGTATGAGAAGGCCCAAGCATGACAGCCTACCCACACGGTAAACACCACATGCAAATGGTTCCAAAAAAGAAAATACAGAAAAATATATGAGAGCCCAAAAACCATAATTGCCAAAACACGTAGTATCAGGTAGCTAGAGAGCGACTCAATTTTACTCTGCCTCTGCCTCTGCCTCTAGTTCTAGAAAAGGAGTCAGCTAACAAATAAGTAAGAATAGTGTCATTGCCAATAGTAACCAATATATCGTCCGATAAGTTCCTGAGCTCGAGCCGGCCTCCATTCTTCTTCTTCCTTATGGAATAGACATGTCATTCCTCATCCGAAAACTGGCTCACCTGATCATTGGATTGGTCAAAAGTGTGTCTGACATGTGTAGGTTTTTGAATATTGGAAGCAACTACTTGTTATACCAGCTGATCTTTTATTGGAACAAAGGAGCACTCTCGTGTGTCTTGGCATATAAGTGAGCTTTCTTCAATAACAATGAGTGGTATAGACACGTTTGGATCAGTACTTGTAATATAGGGAGATGTTTCATGGGACTGCAAAGTACCATGCTCCAAACTAGCAGTTGGAATAGAGTGTTCAAAGGCAGGAGCATACAGGGATAGAACGGCTTGGGTATGATGTTCTTCATCAGGAACATCGTCAGTCAAATGAGCAGAAGTATATGTGGTCTTGGAAAGAGGGTCGGATTGCACCTTCTCAGCAGGGATGGTAGGTGGTAAGACGTCCATCCCCAATTCAGTATGAATATATTTTTGAACTGGTTGTTGATCTTTAGCAATATCCGGCCTTAGGTGAGGAAGCAAGCGAAAGCAAATAGTAGAATTGTGACCAAATATACTACAATTAGAGCAATAAAGAGGGTGTTGTTCTATTTCAATCTTTTTCCAATACCTGTTGTGAGTGGTTCTAATTCATACCTCATCCAGAGTTGGTTGGGTGATATCTCTCTCAATTAACACACAAGCCACAGAGGGTCTAAGGACAGCAAGCGTGGGACTATCAAGCTTGAGAGACTTATCGTAAGCAGTTGCTAATGAGTAGAGAATTTTCAAGTTGAACGGGTGTAGTTTTAACACGGAAAACTTTATCCAAACAGGAATGATAACACCTAGCGGGACCGCTCAGCCCTCACCCAGTCAATTCAGCCCAGGTGAGCTCCAAAGCCCCCACATCATATTTACTATTCAACACTTCAATTCAAACAATAAATAGCCTAATTGTAGTTTATAAAACTAATCTTTGATTTTCTCATGCCATATAATACCTATGACTCTATTTTACCCAATTTTAATGTTAAAGCCATAGCCTCAGTCTTTTATATAATAGCTAAAAAAGAAAAACATATCACATTCAAATATCATTTTATCTTTTACTAAAATTGATAGATAATCAGTATAATCCCACTCCAAGCTCAATCACGCTTAACAGGTTGTTGGCATTCATCTTTGTGCTCGTCTACACATAACGCACTCATTGCATTTGCACGTTCAAAATAGTAGTATGTCGAATACATTTGAGTACCCTTTGCATAACTGTTGCTCGCCCACTATGTTCACCCCCACTGCTTTGATTTCCCTCTCACAATTGCATGCCTCTAAGTGTTGATGCACTAGCGCATCTAATATGGAGCTATGTTGGAGCATATATGATCTCTAATCTTGACACCAAGGGCAGAGTCCTCATTTCGATCTAGCTAACCTATTTACAAATTTAGCTCTACTTCTCGCTTCTAGCATTGTAGCGCCTAGCTTCCTCTTCTTATGATCATTGATTGGCATCCAGTCCATCAATTTCACGAATAGATCCTCAAATATGACTGCATGGTGATGCTCCAATCACTGCTCCCATTTCTGAAGCTTCTACCTCTTTAGAATCTCCTTTGTCATGTGCTTACTGTTAAGGTTATTAGAGAGTATACAATTCCTAGTCCTCTGGGCTCCTCTTCTTAACCACAAATTTTTAACTTGTGCATATAATATTTCACCACATGTTGCCATCCTCCTTTCAAGATAAACAAGCTCTCATATTATCTGATGATAAAATCTTATAGTTGGCTTCACCCTTTTCCTCTCTTCCATTTTGGAAAGTTTTCCTTGGAGCGCCCTAGTGTGATGTTTATTTATAGTTTCATGGTCAATCTTGATTTGGATGAACTCATAATTTGTCATCATTCTTATTAAGTTATCCCTAGAAACATATTATTTAAGATTCTTTATATGGCTAGATTCCTAATGTGCGTGTCTAAGTGGTCACCTTACTTTGATTTTTTCCATAAAACCTCCCTGTTACTTCAATTTTGATTATTTTTTCACATATAAGGGCTAGTATTTCAATCAATCCATTTTGTACACTTCTTGCATATTTTTTGGTAAATTGCTTCAGGTGGATGTTACCATAACCAAGTTATTCAAGTCATTAGTAGTTAGTGTTTGATGTTATTTCCCCCTTAGCAAAAGAAATTTGGATTGACTACACATCTATTGGTTATTGGCACAAAAATGAGTTTAATGATATTTCATCTCAATGTTCTTCTTGCGAAGTATTTCAGCAAAACTTCTCATAATGTTTCACAGTGCATGCAATAAATTGTGTAATCATA